TCGGTTGGAATTCGGCCTAGTCCAAACGTCGTGCTTCTGCCGTGCCGAACTCAAATAAATTTGGCTCGGCAGTGGCATGACAAAAAGCTATGAAAGATTCAAATGTCGGGGGCTTGGAAACGAGCGGTGCCGGCGCAAGTTTGTAGAGGGGTCTAGAGGCATCCTCCCGCCAAAAAAAAAATTTTAATGTAGGGGCTCGGAAATGGTATTTTTGACATCCTCCATGCTGTAGTTCTTAAGAAAATCAACCTAGCGGATGAACTATAAAATGACAGGTACTTTTAGTGCATTTACAGCAATATATTTTGAAGGTATTGTGAGCTTGATACATCTTTTTCAGCCCTCCATGATATATCACGGCCTCAGTACTGACTGACCTGCTCTTTTACACAAGCCCCCCGTGTGTGGGAAGGAATCGCACGCTGCGGAAAGGTTAAAACTATGTAAACACGAAAAGTTTCCTACACATTTGGTACGAGGTTGTAGCTTTGTAAATTCTTGGCAAATCTGTAGTAGACCAGACTTTTTTCGTTTTTTTCCTTCTTCTTTATTTGTTCATTTTTACCTCATACTAAAACAAAATAAACTGTCATCGTGGTAAAAAGTGGAGGGGGGGGGGGGGNGCCGTTCGAAGCCAAGTCGCGCTCCGCTGCCACACGGAGCGGCATTAGGCCTGCGGTGCTATAAGTAGTCGTGCCGACTTTAATTCAGCCTGCCGAACTGAGTGCATGCATGGCTTTAAACGTCGTGCTACTGCCGCGCTTGCGTCGAAGTTCTCAGTATTCGCGTTGAAACAATTTACAAGATTAGAACACCGGATAAACTGAGCATATCGAATGCTTTATATTCAATTAAATTTTGAGGGGCTCCGTCGACTGTTGAAGAATTCAATCCCCTATGGAAACGGCAAAAATTGCGTAATTTTACGGGCTTAAAAGGGGTTTAAGTTTGCCCAATATCGGGTCGAAATAAATACTTTGATTAACATTTGGTCTTCTTCAGTCAGTATTTGGAACAAGAAAATCTGGGTAGTAAGAACGCGCGCCAGCAAACACAAACGTTTTTAAGGCTAGGTGAACTTTTTTTTGCATAATTGACGAAAATTGAAAAGTCTCTTCATAGTCTCTTCACTCGATATATTTCTAACAGTGTTTTTTGTCGTTGTTGGTGTCTTCAATTACTTAGCCTAAATAGTTTCCAAATAATAAAGAAAGAGGGAAAATCGATGGTTAAACTGACAACCGTTTACATAACACATCATATCCTGTCATATTCTTCGGCTCAATCCCCGTAAATGGTACCGCAAAAGCTCTCGCGGTGGACCTTTTGAAGATTAACCCCTAACTGATGTACGACGAGCACCTCCGTTATTTTTATATGAGTCTCCCCCCCCCGGGGGGGAATGAATAAAGTTTGCATGCCGTGTAGCGCGACTTGGCTTCAGCGTGCTCTTACGTACCGTGCCGAACTCAATTCATAGCCTGCTGCATGAGCTGCCATTGCTAATATTTGTAGCATTTAAAATAGCCTTCAGCAAAGCAAGCGTCTTCCGATCTTCTGCGCGACTGATTGAACTCGACGTTTGGAATCACCGCTGTTCTCTTGTCATTGCCACTGCCGTGACAAATTTATTTGAGGTCGGAACGGCAGAAACGCGACGTTTGGACTAGGCCGAATTCCAACCGAGGTCAGATCGCGCGATAGATTTCAAACAGTCTTACTCTATTTTTCAAGAACACTTGCTTCTTTGGTCTGGCTTGATCATGTTAATAAAACCTCTTCTTTCATTTCGTGTATTTAATTACAATTCGTTTTCCATCAAGATCAAAATCAAGACACATGCTAAAAAATACTTTAAAAGACCAGTCTCCTTTCGAATATTTGCAGACTAATCGAGTGTATATAAACGGGAAAGACAAACCCCTATATGCTTCTATTA